TGAAGTGTTTAAAAAGTCCTGGTTTCATTAGAGAAAAGGCAGGCTTCAGGAGACTCTAACTCCCTTATTAGAGAGTTCTTAACCAACTGATTTTATTTGATGAATCAATTAACCTTGATTAAATCTGCATATGAATGACAACAAAAAGTGCTCTCGCTCTCTCTCTCTCTCTCTTGCTCTCTCTCTCTCTCTCTCTCTCCAGATAGGGTGCAAAACTGCCACATCAGGACAGAAGAGGAAAAGTCAGACAGAATGGGAAAGTGCTTTTTTGGATACACACACAGACACACACAGACACACACTTCCCTTTCGGAATCTGTAAATACCACTATTAAAAACAGTTTACCCCCCAAAAAGTTTCCAAAAAAATGCAGAGACTGCAGTTCTGCAGCCAGATATTTTTGATTAAGCTCCATTGAACTCTGTAGGCTTTATTTCTAAGTCAGTAAGAATAGGATAGGAATGTCAGTCGCTTAATATTCTCCCCAATTCGTCAATTAAACGGCCCAACTATTTTAATCAATAATAACACTTTTTAAACATTTATTTTTGGTGTCTCACAGAGCCCAAGTGGTCTCTATGATACCACAGTTTAAAAATCAGAATTTTGAAAGGTTCGGGAATATTCCCCATGCTACTCCCACATCCCTAATACGGGGAACAAATAAGTAAATAAATCCATAAACCCTAGGCGGCTTTCATACTTGGACAAGTGTTAGCACTGGTGCAAATTTGGAAAATGGGCCAAGAAGTAGGTTAAACTCTGCAGGTTATATGTCCTTTTTATTTGCAGAAGCAACAGTTTTAGCATTCCTGCTCCACAAATAGTATTCATGGGGAGCTATATATTTGAGCAAAATAAGAATGAATCAGAGATTGAGATATATTATTCCCCACTCTCTCTAACAGGATAACTAGAAAAGAATGAAGAAGAAAAGGGTTTTGTTTAAAAACAAAAAGAGGAACAAATTTTGCCCTGAATGCCCTATTCATTGCAAAGTTAACTCTTATTCATTATAGGTATTTTGCAGAATCTTCCATTTTTTTTTTTCCTTTGGTTCAGTCCCTCTTTCTATCTATTATGCTTTAAAGTCATGTCTTAGAGCATATGGGGAAAGGGGTGCAAAATACCCCATAATTTAGAACATAGCATCCATAATTTAATTTCAGAGCATCTGCCAGCACTCTGAATTTATGCAGAAATTTGGTACCAATACCAGTGCAATTTTCTTCCTTATTTTATTAGTTTAACCCCACCTCTGTAAACCAACAATAATTAGGGCTGGAAGTATGGAAATGGCTGAAATTACTGTGTTACCAGATATACCATCTCTGGCCCTTGACAGCAGGGAGAAAAATTCACAAGGTTTTGGGCTCTGTCACCTAGCTTTCAGTGAGGACAAGTTGGAGAAGTAATTTTCTGACCAGATCATGTTAGCTAGATTTCCCAATCTATGGCTTCTTCTGCTCTGAAAATCTTAAAGCAGAGATGTGAAAAGTGAAGCCATTTAGCTGCTTATTCCCACCAAGGTTCTTTTTGCAGCCCCTCGAGTCCCCCAGAATTAACCAACCAGTTGAAAAGGTAAAGACAGGTTCATATAGTTTTCTTGGCAACCATAAAGGGGCATCCTATTGCATTCATCTATTATTTCTTGGAAAGGCATGACAATTGATTGAAAAGGGGGTTCCCTTTAAATATTTAAATATTCTATATTTAATACAGTGAAGGTCACTTGTTGATTTGCATCTTACTCTGAATAAATCTTATACACATAACCCTTGACTGCAGACTTAGTAATTTGATTTAGATTTAGAATCTTTCTATTTTCAGAGATCATCCTTTTGATAAGATGCAAACTTATCACCTTCCTAAAAAAAATGGTTCCACTAAGTCCCCCCCCCCCCCCC